ATCTAAATCACATTACACTAAAAAGGAAAAGGAGAAGCGAGCAAACTGCACGGCTGAGCAACTCAAGAGCCTATGTAAATTTGGATCTCTAAAATGGCTATGTAAACCTATTTAGACAATCAAAATAGATACCGTCCACAGCAGTCTCTTTAAATTAGGCTTTCTATTTTTAAAGTCTCCACGTCAGTACTAATTAACCGACACGTCGCTAACTAAGGACAGGCTCTCGATCGGCAGCCGTTTGAGTACGATGCTGGCCATGCACACGTGAATCAATTCCCTACGGGGCACCACCTCTTGCTCAAGAAAGATCATGAGCCTACGCATGCTGCCGGACGGAGATGGACACCATCTCCTACGCGGCGGCCGGCAGAATCGACGGCGAGGACATGGCTGCCGACGGCGCGATTGGAAGGAAGGGAAAGGGCAGCGGCCTACGGACAACAGCGGGGACGTGCGGGAAAGGTCACAACGTGTGCAAGAAGGAGGCGCCGCGTGCGGAAATTGACCACTATGACCGCGGGACGCTGCATGCGAGCCGAGATGGGGAGCCAGCGTCGCTATAGCCTTTTCTTCCGAGCGGAAGTCACGGGATACAAAATATGGAAGATTGGAGAAGCTGATGGAAAGACTGTTGGAGACGTGTTTTTATCTGTAAATAGCTAAATCGGATTTTGCGGAAAGATTTAGAACATCTCTCGAAGATGCTAAGAGAGAGGCAGCGCTAGCACCTGCGCCGGTTCCCGTGCTAGGCATGCCAACCGCACGCATGCACGATTCGACGAGTTATAATAATGTTGATTGCTCATAAAAAATAATAATTTATTTTAAAGTAAACCATTTGAGCTGCTGCTGACAGGTTGAGATAAAAAACACTATCACTCTGTTCGCTTGTTGGTTTCAGCCAGGCTTATTCAACCAGCCAACAGTGTTTTCCTCTCATAAAAAACCAGCACTAGCCAGGCCAAACCAGCACCAGCACCAACCAGCGAACAGGGTGTATAGGTATATTGCTTTTCATCGGCTGCAGCCCTGGCAAGAAGCTATTGGTGCGCTAGCATTGAACGTCCCGAGCTCACCATAGCCGGCCGAGCGCTGCCCCAACCATACATATCTTCTTCAACAAAAACAACGATCAAATCGAAGGCTCGTGCAGACTAGGTATACCCTTTTTTCACGTGCTCCTATTCGAACAGGTTTCGTCCGTTCTTTTTCCAAGCTTCATAAGCATCCATTTCAATCGTCAGTTTTCAACTTCCTGTTCTAATTTAGTCATTCCTCAAGCGCTGCCCCAACCATACATACTTTCTTCAACAAAAACAACGATCAAATCGAAGGCTCGCTGACTAGGTATGCTCTCTTTTTTCATGCGTCCCTATTCTAATTGGTTTCGTCCGTTCTTTTTCCAAGCTTTATAAGTATCCACTTCGATCGTCGGTTTTCAACTTTCTATTCTAATTTAGTCATTCCCGATAAATATCAATAATAATATAATATTAAATATAATAATATTATATGCCTTTAAGCCCTTGACCTCTTCTTTAAGAAATATATTTTTTCATCACCAAACTATTGGTACAGTTCTAATTAGAAATAAAACGTATCTTATTGATACAACCTTGCTCAGCCGATATGGTTCAATCAATCAAACCGTGGACTGAAAATTGAAGTTAGTTGCTCAGTTTAGTTTAACAAATATCTCTTCAAGCACAATTCTAGACCAAATTTTATACAAAGAGTAAAATATAAAGAGATATGTATTATTTCGGTCTTTGTTTTTCTTAAATGTTTGATACATTTCCCATTACAACGAACGGGCATATTTGCTAGTACTAATAAAAGCATTGACAAGTCAATATTTGAAGATTGAGCATGAGGTTGGTCCGGGGCTTCTATTTGGATCTCCTTCTCTAAATTTTTGAGCTCTGGTTTTTTGAGCTAAAGTCTCCAAACAGGTGGTCTAAAATTAACTCTAACTTTAGCACACTTTATATTAGACTTTAGATCTCTAATAAAGTTTTGTAGGACTCTATAAAGTCTAGAGAACGAACACGTGCGCACTAGTTTTGGTTATCGGAATACCTAGCGCCTGGACGTTCGGCCCCTGGCGGCATCCGGATGCAGGTCCAGATGCGCCCTTATCCCCCACCGCGTTCCGTTCCGCACCGTGTCCCGTTCCCCACCGAGCCCCTGACTTCGTTCCCCACCGCGCCCCTATCCCTGTTTCCCACCGCGCCTCTCTCCTCGTTCCCCCACCGCGTCCCTGTCCTCGTTCCCCAACGCACCCCGTACCCCCACCGCGCCCCCTGTCCCAAGAGCACGAAAACACTTCAAGTGCAAAACATCGCAAAGCATATGGAGAAACTATGTAGTGTAACATCGGAATATAAACCGCAACATCGCAAAATTATGTGGTGCAACATCGAAAAACATGTACTGCAACATCGCAAAAACATGTACTGCAACATCGAAAAATATATACCGCAACATCGAAAAATTGTGTGCTGCAACATCGAAAAATTATGTGCTGCAACATCGAAAATTATGTACTGCAACATCGAAAATAGTAGTACTGCAACATAGCAAAAATCAACCATGAAACATGGAAATGGAAATATTCGAAAATCATCTATTGCAACAACCCAAAAATCTCATTGCAACATTCGAAAATCATCTGTTGCAACATCAAAACCCATTGCAACACGGAGAAACAGAGCTCGCTGGAGGCCAGAGGGAATAGGACCCCAGAGCTCACCGGAACCCTAGCCACCACCGCGTCCCTCAGATCCAGAGGAGGAGGATGAAGAGGAGGACGAGGGCTCAGATCTAGAGAAGAAGAAGAAGGGTTCAGATCCAGAGAAGGAGCGACCTACCTCGTCGGAGCCGCCGTTGTCGTCCTTGTCTCCGGTGGGGCAGCGGGAGCCGGGTCAGAATGGAGGTCACTTAGGGGGGAGGGAGGGAGGGAGGTCGCTGGGTTGTACAGTAATTCTAGCTAATCATACTACTCCGATGTTTTCTGATCTCTCAAGGGCTTACTTGTGGAATTTTACACCCCTTGTTCAACCATAGTTTCCTCTGACCGTATTTGGGCATACTGAAGAGATGAGTCATTAGTTGTGTTTTCATAGCTCGAGTTGACATGCTTGCTTAAACCGTTAGGGATTGGAGTCAGGTGCTATTTGTAGGGTTGGCTTGCAGCGTCCGACTTAATTAGTGGTCACTTCTCTGCAGATTTCCATCAAGTATGTTACATTGAGGAATTTGAAATATCTAGCATATAATTATTGTTGATTCTAACAGGGTCTATATTTGGTATGACTGAGCTGTATTCATTGTGGTGTGGGTCACGTTTTTATTATCTTTCATGATTTTGATGAATGCTCAAGGCATGTTCTTTCTTCGAGATCTTTATACCAGTAATTCTGGGTTGTGTGGCCAAGGTTTTGTTGCATTGGTTATGTTTTCTTGTTTCGTTTAATGCTCAATGGTGTTCTTTCCCTAGTTCATGAAGACTTAATAGTTTTTGTTGTTGTAGCGATGACCAAAGTAACACATCTGATGATGCCTTGAAGTTTGGTAGTGGTTGAACTGTAAATAAAATAAAATAGTAAGTTAAATCTTGGTGGCTAGAGCAGTTATATCAGAAAATTCATGCATTGGGTTATTGAGGGAAATTGAGCGAGCAACTTGTTACATTTTCTCTTCTTGTCAGATTGAGGAACTCGCAGGATGTAAACCATTTCTTGCAAGTATGCTAAAATAACTGGGGTCAAAGATTGGTTGGATGATCAGGTGTAAACCTAACTAATTTGTCAACTTCAAAAAAAAAACTAATTTTTCATTTGGCTTTCATTGCTAGCTTACGGTCAGATGCTTGAGAAGCACATTGCACAAAAACTAACATAAAAAGTAAACACTTCTGTTGGCTGGTGATTTGCTGGAAAAAAATCTAGACTGGTCAATAGTCCTAACATGTGCTCTGTTGGTTGACCTGTTGTTGCTGGATACTTGGGCAATTTTGCAACTAACCATTTGCCTGTGGACAGCCATGTTCAAACACGGACCAGCCTAGATTTGTATATCATTGTAACTTTAACTAGGCGAAATATTTATTTTTGTTCCCTCAACTATTGCTCTATGCTCAGTTTCATCTCTAAACTTCCAAAATATACCGAGATGTTTGGTTGCAAGATAGGTGCTTGTCTGTTTTAGTATCTAGAATACCAGTGCATCATCAAAAGCTCCATAATGCTGACTAGAGTGCAATTGAAAAGCGCTTTAAGAAGAAACTAAGTACCTAGAAGGCTAAGCTTAAGCGTTTGTCTCATGAACGTCGGTGCTTAATAGTTTACCCATGTTTATAATGTCTATTTTTTTAAATTTGGAGGGGTCTTAAAAGATTTATAATGTCTAAAGATCAAGGAGGACTAAGAATAACGTACCTTAAAATTGAACTTTAAAATGAATGCTCGTTTAGTAAATGACTTTTAAAATTTGACAATAAAGAAAAGATTTGGCAAAACATGTGACATGTTCAAATTAAATCGGATGCTTTAAACTTTGAAAAGATCTAGTATTAAAAATCACAATCCAGTTTTTAGCTTGTGGGACTTCCAACATAAAAGGGTGGGTCCAAACTAGATTATGGGAAGACACCTTCAGGCGCAGTTCCCTAACCTCTTAATACTGTTGTCATGAACTGCCATTACGCAGTGCAAACCGAAATGGGACAAGCGTCCATGGATACCTCTTTCCGTAGAGCTTTAGTGGATAACAAGATCACTGATTGGCATAACATAGTAACTAAAAAACCTCATATTCAATTATTGAATGAGAAAGACAGTTTTACTTGGGACTTACATAAACATGGCCAATTCTCAGCTCCTTTCTCTTAGAAATCCATTTGGAAGCTGAAAATCCACTAAAAATTACACAACTGAATTTCCTAAGCAAGGCTGAACTCTGAAGGGATTAGGAACAGTTTGATGAAGACTATTAGGTCATTTGCCATTCACAGACTTCTTTAGGGAACGAAGAACACTCCACATTACAGTTGAAACAAAGAACAAAACTACTCCAGTAATAATTGCATATTTCAGGCCAAGATTCATAAGCAAGTTCACCAGCAGCCCTGCAAGGACAACTCCCACAAAATTTGCTGTAAAACCTGACCAAAATGGCATGCCTAAAACAGATGCAATGAAGGCCCCTGTCCATGCTCCTGTGCCTGGGAATGGAACGGCAACAAACAACATCAAGCCGAGCCATTGGAATTCCTCAACAGGAGCAGCCTTCTGTCGTGCCCGCTCAAAGAGGAGGTCCATAATTCGGGCTGCAGATGTGCTTTTCTGAGACAGAAATGTCGCAAGTTTTTTCAGGTAGAGGATGATAAATGGTACAGGTACCATGTTCCTGGGAAAGACAACAGGAGAAATTAAAATCTGTTTATTGAACCTTTTTTCTGCAGAGAGTCAACAGTGTGTTTTGTACTAATTGCCACTTGTTTAAGTTGTGACAGCAGGCAGTTTTCCTCTTGAACGTGTTACTAAAATACGAAATTGAGCAACAACATCACTGCAGTGTCAGAGTTTTCGCTTAAAAGCATGTAAGGACTAATCAGTCCAATGATTAATAAACTGCAGATTAATTATCTTTAACTTGCTACTATTCACTACCTTGTTTTCAGTTCCCTGCTCCTTCATCTTAGGATCCATTTAAAAGTATTCATGTTCCCTTTTAAGAAGTGCAAATTTAATTCGGAAACCAAATATTGTCATCTTCACATTTCAGACTTCCAAAGCATATACTAGGCATACCTAAAGATGATTGGTATGCTGTTCCAGACGAACTTTGGTTGCCTTTTCTGTTAAAACACTGAATATAATGATCCAGCATATATTATCGCAGTTCACATATAATTTAATTATCGTTGTGCAGCACATCCTACAAAGTCCAGACTTCTTACACCTATTTGACTATGTACAGCTCAATGTCCAGCCCATGTAAGCTACAAGGTAGTATGCTGATCTATCAGATTTTCGTATTTGGATTTGTTAAACTATCTGGCAGATCATACCATCTGAATTTCATTGTGTTAGCTAATTTAGTTATGGACCTTAGTTTCTGAAATAACATATATGCAACAGTTTGGGTTGGTATTACACAATATTTGGGGCACAATCCTCACCTGCTGGGATATCAGCAATTCATCAAACATCTAGTGGGCAAGTACTAGTAGGACTATCATTTACCAAAAGAGATGAAGGGGGATTAATGAACAGGTACAAACCCAAGAACGGATAGGATGGTGAGGCGGACGGGATGGAGCCGCAACCAGTAACCAACGGGGATCGCCCCCCGCAGCTCGATCACCGGCAGCGTCGCGAGTGCGAACACGACGGCGTCGTCGGGCCATCCGAGCCTCCGCAGCGACTCCGCCACCCGCAGCCCGAACCCTGACGCCTTGATCGAGTCCTCCGCCGCTGCCCGCGCCGCGCCGCAGCCGAGCGCGGCGGCTGCAGCGCAGCAGCCAAGCGCGAGCAGCGCCACCCGCTTCAGAACATCCCAATCGGCCGCCTCCCGCTCCGTGGCCTCCGCCTTCACACCACCACCTAATGAGGCCGCCGCACACGGAGCCCTCGGGACGGCGGCTCCGGCACGAGAATCGCGGGGAACGGAGGCCCGGAGAGGAGAAGCGGGCGCCCGCAGGCCCAGCGCGGGAGGCGGCGGGTTCGCCCGTGGATGTGATGCGACAAGACGGCCCCATCTCCGTGACGTAAGTGGGGGCGAGGCCGCCGCAGCCGCGAGAACTGAGGCCACCATGGGCATTGGGATCCCCTCGTGGATTGGACAGGGCTCGGAGCTTTGAATCGATCGATTCCGGCGACGGTTACGAGGTAACGACTAACGAGTCGTTGGAGGAGAGGCCGAGGCTGCGCGCGGCCTCGCGCCATGGTAGTTGGGAGGGGAGTTGACTGTCCTCGTGACGGCGTGAGTCGAAACCGGGGGCTTTGGTTTGTGACGCTGAAAGGTGGAGCCCTTTCTGAAAAATAACGCGTAGGTGGGGTAGGAAAGGCCTGGGACCACCTGTCTGTGATATTTGGGCTGCCCAGGCTGTGTGACGATGAGCTTAGCTTGAAAACGTACGGAGCTCGTTATGGAAGAAGTCAAAACTGGCATGGAACGATTTTTCTACAGAAATGCTATAAAATATACATGTGTTTTTTTAAAAAAAAAAATATATGAATTTTCTCTCTCTCCCCCTCCGTTCTGCTGATCCCGCCCGTATCCTCGCTGGCTCCGATCCCACCCGCTCTGCAACGTACGCCGCCCGCTCCGCAACGTACGCACGCACGCGTCTGTTTGCCCGCACCGTGCCGCTGGCTGGACCAAGCTGTGCCCGCACTGTGCCTCCAGTAGGTCTCTCCTCCTTCTCTACTATCTGTGATTTATCCTTTCATAAAAAAATTTTTATTTATTATGATCTGTGATCTTGTAATTGTCTAGAGGTAGAAGAAAGCTAGAAGCTAGAGATAGAAGAAGGCTAGAGGCTGTTGGATCTTAATTTTATGGTGTAAAAAAATTTATGTGTTGAAACTATATAAAACACATAGTTATTGGGTAGACGTACTCTTCGACAGAAATGCTATCCAACATACATTTTTTAAGGCGCATGAAACATTGGAAAGTCAAAACCCGCATGATGTGCGAAGCTGACCAAGAATCTATTTCACATAGAACATGCGAAATTCAAATGTGAAGCTGACAGTCACTTAAGTCTTGTTTAGATATAGTCAGATTCACTTTAATCCACACGTGTTGGTTTGGATTCGAGTGACATTTATTTCAAGTTCCACTTCAATCCACCCTAATCCATGCGGATTGAGGACCCACCCAAATAAAGCCTTATGGAATTAAACCAGCACATGGAAGTTGTTTAAAACTCATCGAAATCACGAAGCCCAGTGTTCCGGCGAGCAGAACCTACCGGCACAACATACTACAGCCCTGTTCCATTTCTGAAACCATGCAGCAACTCACATGATCCATTCCTTGTAAACAGAACACGCAGACTAACACATTCACACCCAAGTTTCAGAAACTCTTATTAACCCAGGCACGTCTACCATCATTTTCACATAGTTTTTTTGCAGCATTCATAGGGATCCATTTCAGCAACCCCGGCCCAGGCGAACCACTGGAGTCGAGAAACCAGAAACCAGTAACAAGATAGGATTGTAGGCACTGCTAAATTAGGATGAGGAAGATGACGTGAACATCTGTATCTTCCTCTCAAGCTCGTCCTTCTTGGCCCCAATCACACGGCTTACCTCCTTCCCATCCTTCACTAGTACAAACGTTGGCATCGCCTCTACCTTCCATGTCCTTGCGACCTCCTGCGAAATTCAAAGGTTTGACAAGTTAGAAAGATCCAATGCTGAATATGTAATAAATTGCCGTCGCATGTCGGAGCCTTGTAAAGGAAATTTTAAGGCTGCCTGCACCTGTATGAATCAATTGTTTTTCTGCTCCTGGGTGAGGAGCGGAGTGTGTTTCTAAATATGTTCTCAAAGCATAATCACTAGACAGAACATACAAAAGGAAATTCCAAATATTGCCTTCTTCCTTTTTGGCAGGGCCCCAAATACCGTCTTCAATGAACATACTTTATGACTGAAATTTTCATATTTGTAAATAAATCAAACAGTAAAATATTTGTTGTATCTCCCTGCAACTTATTAATTCAGATGCATACAATTGGTACATCTAAAAATAGTGCCATGAAACCTCCATTCAAACCAATAGATTCTTTAGCACAATTAGCATCAACACTTTCACATAAAAAAAAATTCATCACATTCAGGTGGACGCAGATGCAATTTATCTGTGCTACAGACATGATGAAACATATCAGGGGCCTGTTTATAACTAAAGTCTAAAAGTAGTGATTTGGTTGATTTCATCCTCAAATATATTGCATCAGATTCAGATGGCCTATATCTTCTCTTTCAGGCAAGAGGACAAGAGCATATGCACCGTGTCTCTAATTCTGCTAGTGCACGGTCAGCTCATTCCCTAAGTTAGGGCCCTCAATATCAAATTCGCTACAATTAAACACCACTAGGACACATCATGATTCCCCGCCTAGTAGGACTGAGGTCGAGGGTTTCCCGAACGGCCGAACATCTAAAGAATCGAGGCAAATAGTATACAATTCCCCACTCTTCCAGTCTACAAACTGCTGTTTGACTGCTACTTACGACAGGATCGTACCAAGACTAAATCGAAGTCTATTCCCGAACCACAAAATATGATAGCTGCCGATTCCCCTCCCAAGCCACACGGAAAAAGAAGACAAGAGGACGGCATCAGGACCGCAGGAGGCGTGGCGTACCGCGAGCTCGTCGACGTCGATCTTGACGAAGATGGCGTCGGAGAAGCGGGAGGCCAGTTCCTTGAAGGCCGGCTCGATGAAGCGGCAGGGCCCGCACCAGGACGCCGAGAAGTCGATCACCATCTGCCGAGCAAAAAGCGCCAGACAACCAAACCCTCGAGTTCCTCAGATCCAGGGCACCGAAGGCCGGGGCAAGGCAACCAGAGCCGAAAAGGAAGAGGGGCTGACCAGCTTGGAGCTGCTCTTGTGGGCCGCCCACTGCTCGTCGTAGGTGGCCTTGGAGTGGGCGGCCACCACGGCGCAGTTCGGGTCGTCGGCGGCCGGAGGGGGCGTCACTAAGCTCGAGAAGAAGGAGCCCATCGCTGATCGCTCTCGGTTGCCCTCCCTGCACGTCTGTCTGCTTGCTGCCTTGGTGGTTGGTTTGTTTAGGCGTGCCTGCTGCCGGCGGGTGCTCGTGATGAGGCGAAGAAGATTAGATATAGGCCCGTTTGAGTGACTTTAAATTCGGCTCGATCCGTTTATTTTTTCATCTAGAATAGTATTTTTCTCTCATAAATTTCTCTAGCATTCCTCCAAACCATTCAGATTTCTCCAAAATTCAGACAAGCGAACATGCCCATAGCGTCCGCACCACGCGACCACGGCACGGTGAAGCTAGGGAATCGTGTGCTTAGGTTATGATTACGACTCCAAGCGCGTGTTTAGTTGGGGGAATTTGAGAATTTGGACTACTGTAGCACTTTCGTTTTTATTTGACAATTAGTGTTCAATCATGGACTAATTAGGCTCAAATCGTTTCGTCTCGTAATTTCCAACCAAACTGTGCAATTAGTTTTTTTCGTCTATATTTAATGCTCCATGCACGTATCGTAAAATTCGATGTGATAGATACTGTAACACTTTTTTGGGAATTTAGATGGGAACTAAACACGCGCCAAATCACGTTGGTCTCCGGCCTTTTGACCTTTTCGACCTCCGGCTTTTGATCTTATTGATCGTATGGTTCAGGATCTACTACGGGAGCACCATTAAAAATATATATATATATATATAAACAATATTTAAACTTGTCTCGTGACGTCACCTAGGTGTTTAAACTCTCAAAAATGTATTTTTAGGTTATCGGACTTGTCTTGGCGTGTCATCCAAATTTAGAATTCTCAAAATTTTATGTTTTAGTCCTTAAACTTGTCTATGTGTGTAATTTATGTCCAGATGAGCTCCAACCTATACTCTAGTTGTCGGGGACCAATACTAAGTTACCCGAATATAAGCTAATGGTCTTCAATATTGATTCATCCGAGTAGTCAAAAGCGCGACTACAGCTCCAACCGACCTCCAGGTGCGCGGGCTTCGCCTCGCCCAACCTCTGGGTCGGGGGCCCTGCCTCACCCGGCCTCTGGGTCAGGGACTCCGTCTCACCCGACCCCTGAGGCGTGGCTCCTGAAGGAAGCCCATACCACCGCCAACCACTACGAGCCAGAAAGTACAACACAAGGTCAAACTTCTAGCATCGTGCAGGGAGCGGGCATATCTCAACATGACCCGTGCCTGCGACATGTCGCTTCAGGGAACTCACATCACCAACAGTGACGGACGGGTGGTCACTATGTTGCCTACTCCTTTTACGGCCGCTGACCAGCACGCTGGTTCGCCGCGTCGCCTTACTGGGACGGAATGGGACGTCACGACCCGCTGATAACGTGGGGCATGGCATCAGCGATGAACAGGCGCCCGATGTGGAGCCATCCCTGTCACCATCTACGGTGTCAACGGAACCCACATAAAGGAGAAGAAAGGCTTGGTGGTTCTAGAAGCCTTCCCTCCTTGGTCCTTCTCCATCTTTCTCTCTGTGTAACCTGCTCTTCCCCTTCGTGTATAAAAGAGGAAGCAGGACGCCCCAAGAGGGAGGACGGTGGTTCACCACTCTGCACGGTTGTAGACATCAAAACATATGCCCTAACACGCCTTAGGAGCACATGCACATCAGAGACTTGGAACTTGTTCCTCTCTCGCTCGTTTGTAACCCCTACTACAAACTTTTAGTGCTAGTAACACGAGCAGCAGTGACGAACTGGACGTAGGGACTTTCTGCCCAAACCAGTATAAACCTCGTATCCTCTAAGCACACCATATGAGTCAGACACGCAATACTAGAAATTTACTAGTTGGTAACTCAAAACATCGACAGTTGGCACGCCAGGTAGGGGCTTTTTACGTGTCTCGACGTCCACATCAGGCCTCGGATGGCTAGTCACGGTGTCAGCTAGGTCCCGGGCGTGCACATGCACTTTGGGAACCTGGACTTCATCGTCACGATGGGGGTAGAGTTGGTGCAGGCTCCCATCGCCGTCCAACCTCTCCACTCCGCCGCCCTTGACGCTATCGTCGAGGCGCTTGAGGAGCTGCGGCTGCACGCACCGGAGGCCCACGCCCCTGGGAACGACCAGCTCCTCGGCTTCGATTATGGGAGGCTAGAACACCAGCTCGGTGCCTTCCTAGGACCCTGACCGTCCCGGGAGGACTTAGGCTACCTCACCTTCTCGTTCGCCAACATCATGACATAGCTTGCCGGAGGAGAGCCGCTTTCCCCAGAATACCTCATCCGGAGCGCCCCGATAGTGCTCTCGTTTGGTCTGCGCAACGCCACCGAGATCGTTGGCCACCTTGTGGCGCAACGCGCGCCCCCATCCCCCACGAACGATGAGTTCATGGGGATGACCGAATATGTCACAGAATCTTTCCACGATCTCCTCGCAGGAGAATCGGAGTCGCCCTCCAACTCTAACTCCACTAGGGGGAGCCATCACCCCTCTCATGAATATTTCATGGCAGGTACCCCCGAGGGGTACATCAAAAGCATCCACGAGGGAGAGGCTACCCCAACGAACGGCTTCGACGATGAGGTCGAGGGGGATGCAGGGGCCCCACCTCACCTGCGGGTAGAGCAGCTGAAGGCCTGGTGCCAAGAGCTCAAGGAAGCACGACTCCAGCTCGAGCAGGAATGCGCGGAGCTCGAACGAGAGATCGAGCGCCACGAAGACGGTGGGCGTGTGCACGCCGTGGCCCATATCGTGAACCGGAGGATCATCGAGGATGACGAAGCCCTCCCACACTTCACCCGGGCAAGCCAAAACATTGCTGCTATGGTGGCCTTGCTCTGGGGGCTTCTAGGGCCTACGACACCCGAGGATCGTCGGGCCCATCGCGAGATTCGCACACTACTTGAGCGTGCGATGACGCAACAGGCCGAGAGCTCGATGTCCCAACAATGCGAGCTCAACGCCAGCCAGCGTGCACCCTCAAAGCAACCCAACAGGGATATGTTAGTCCACCAGGAGTAGCAAGGCGGCAGGCCACGCGCCGTGGTCCCGGTGCATGAACGTCTCAGCCTCCACCATGACACATGCGACACCCTCGATGCCCGCAGGCATACCCGCGGCAATGCGTGGGAGGAGGCTAGCCATGGCTACCACCCGCGTCGTGGCGAACGCTACGACAGCGGCAAACACCGAAGCCCGAGCCCCAACTTGCCAGGACCCTAGGCCTTTGGCCAACACATCCTCAATGTTGCCTTCCCACCGTGGTACCGACCGTCGACCAATATCCTAAAATACTCTGGAGAAATGAACCCCGGACTGTGGCTCGAGGATTATCGGCTTGCTTGCCAAGCTAGTGGAGCGGATAATGACGATTTAATTATCCGCAACCTTCCATTGTTCCTGGCCGATTCGGCATGAACGTGGTTGGAACACCTTCCGCCCAACCGAATCCATAGTTGGGCGGACCTAAAAGAGATCTTTGTGGGAAACTTTTAGGACACTTACGCGCGTCCTGGGAACCCATGGGATCTCAAAAACTACCAACAAAAGTTCAGGAAAACTCTTCGTGGGTACATCCGGCGCTTCTCCCGGCAGTGCAACGAGCTGCCCAACGTCGTCGACGCCGACGTCATAGGAGTTTTTCTATCTGGGACCACTTGTGAATCCCTAGTTCACAAGTTAGGATGTAAGGGCCCGCGAACCACCAAGGAGCTCCTCGACATTGCCACCAGCCATGCCTTGGGCAAGGAGGCGGTAGGGGCGATTTTCAACCGCCTCAAAGGCAAGGCAAAGCGGGATGAGGACGCCGGTGAAGGCGCCTCCAACCATCTCAACAAAAAGAAGAACAAGCAGCGGCACGAGGGCTCGCTCGTGGCCACCGCTGACCTCAAAGGGGGTCAGAATCTCGACGAGGGTACCCTAGACCACTTCAAGAAGGTGCTCGAAGGGCCATGCCCAAACCTTGCTTTCCCCGTCAAGCACCTATACAAGGACTGCGTCCTCATGAAGTGGTTCTTGTCCGGAGGCTCCAACAAGGGGGGGCATAGGAAGGAGCCCAAGCCGATCGCAGATGACATCGAGGGGAAGGATGGTGGATTTCTAGCACTGGATGGCTGCCTCATGATCTTTGGAGGGTCGGAGGCCTATGACTCCAAGCGCCGCTAGAAGCTTGCATGCCACGAGGTCTATATGGTCGAGTCGGGCGAGCCTACCTTTCTCCAATGGTCGGAGTCCGCCATAACCTTTGATCGGACCGACCACCCAGAAAGCGTCCCACAGCCAGGAAGATATCCGCTCATGGTCAACCCAATCATCGACACGAAGCGGCTCACCAAAGTGCTGATAGATGGAGGCAGCAGTCTCAACATCATGTATGCTGAAACGCTAAACGCCATGGGCATCGACCGAGCACGCATCCAGTCTTTCAAGCCCGTAGAAGGCGCCAATGAGGTCCCCATAGACCCCAGCGGTTCCAAGGGCAAAGTGGTGCGCATTGGCACCACGCTTTCCTCTGAATAGGAAAGCGCGCTCGTTGACTTCTTCCACGCCAATAGTGACATCTTTGCGTAGAGACCCTTAGACATGCCAGGCATTCTGAGAGAAGTCACTGAACATGCCTTGAAGATCAAGCCAGTAAAGCAGCACCGGCGTCGCTTCGATGAGGAGAAACACAAGGCCATCAGTGAGGAGATTGCGAAGCTTTTGGCGGCCGGGTTCATCAAGGAAGTATAGCACCCCGGGTGGTTAGCCATTCCCGTTCTTGTACAAAAAAGAGTAAGAAATGGAGAATGTGTGTTGACTACATGGGTCTCAACAAAGCATGTCCAAAGGATCTGTTTCATTTGCCATGGATAGACCAAGTAGTCGACTCAACCTCAGGGTGCGAAACCCTTTGCTTCTTTGATGCGTACTCCAGATACCATCAAATCACGATGAAAGAGTCTGACTAGCTCGCGACGTCTTTCTTTACCCCATTCAGATCATTCTGCTATATCACAATGCTATTTGGCCTAAAGAAAGCGGGAGCTACGTACCAAC